TTGAGTTCTGCTTAAGCCGGTGCTAGGAGGCGTGGACAGCAGTTTGCACTTGACTGTACCGTTCATGAACAGGCTCAATCAAACCGAGCCTGCAACATTTTCAATTTTGCCGTGTTGGGCTTTCTTTAGGGATTCTTACTTTCTGTATTTTACGTGTCATTTAACGAGCATTTTGTGAAAAATGGCTGTTTTCATTGAAAAGTCTCCCGTTACAAGTTCAAATTGCTATAATACTATAAAAACTGCTTCAACACTAATCAAACTTGGCACAAATGTTGACTGGACCATTGCCCTTGCAACAACATGCTCAGGCTTAAATTTTCTGTTACCATGGCAACGAGGGGACATCTCAAAAATGCCAAAAAATCACTATTTTGCGTTGATTTTTTCCATCTTAATTGATTTCAAAGTGCTGCAACTTCTTAATGGATTGAGATAGACTCAAATGCTTTTCAGCGTTGGTTACACGTTACCTTATGATCAATCTGGGGTCATTTATAGCCTCTCACAAGTCCAAAATTTTCTTAGCAATGAGGGGGACTCCGCCCCCTTTAAACCCCCCAAACAGAAGGGGGCACATCCCCCTTCTGGCAACCCCCTGATGTATCTTTTGGTTGGGGGCCGCGCCGAAAAAGAGGTCACTTTTTTAAACAACATTTCTCAAACAAAAACAAGTGTTGGGGGCCTAAATAAGGCATTTTTTCACAACAAAAAGGGATGGGGGTGAAAAAGGCGTTAAAACGCGTGTATATAACGTAATGGGTTAAGAGTGCTATATAATTGACTTCTAAGTGACCTCAGTTTATTTATTGTTCTGTGTCTGGCAAGTTCTAAAGCAAATGTACACTTTATATATTTCGCTTGGGAAACCTGCTGTATAATATTAATTAAAAAGGCTACTTCTGCGAAATCCAAGTTAGAAGTACAGTAATTTGATCAAATGTACACTTAAAGTACTCATCCATGCAGTGTAATAAATTAAATATTGAACTAACTTTCGGTCAACAAATAACAAACATATGTACAAAACATGTGAAAATTTATAATATATAATACAAACTACATGTTTAACTTTAGTTTTATAATATTTTATTGTATAAATATACACACAATATACAATTTCATAATTTTACAGACATAATCAAGTGTACATACAAAAGAGTTGGGCCAAAAGTTTAACTTTAAAAGCTGCGTAATTAAGAGATTCTCCTGTAATTAAGCCCATATTACAAGTTTGCAAAGAAGATAACAGTCACTTGCTTTATAATGGTTTTTAAATATGATATTAGAAAATATTGATTATTCCTACACAGTCTCTATAAACACGTTTTGACTTCACACAAAGTAGATAAGGTGGTCACAATATGAATATATAGTGTATTCATTTTTTATTCAAATAAGATACATTCAGTAAGAATTGATTTCAATAAATTTCTGTGCTAAAAATAGTTTACTCAATGATAAACATAGAATATCTTTTAAAAAAAGGTTATGTACAGTAAGTACATGAAGTAGTTACTAAGCAAATAATAGTTTTTAACTATACACACGGTCATATAACCAAAAAGCGCCAAATCACTTTGCAACTGTTTTATAGTAACAAAACAATATTTATGATTTTTAGCAGCAGTGTAATTATAACATGTAATATAGATTTTAACAGGTAATATGGCCAAGTAAACATGGACGTAGGTTCATATGGCCCAGACTGCAAGGAAAGGTTTATAAGCAAGAACTAAAACGTTGAAACTCAGGTATGACATTGCAAAATTCTAATAATAACACAGTTGTAATACTACACAATTCCTTATAATAAAATTGAATCGGTCTGTAATAACTTACGTTGATAATAGACAAAACAACAAACCACGAAACAATTACAAATGAAAGTCGTTGGCAAGTGTGAGATACATGATCCGATATTACATATATCTATAGAGCAGATAATAGAATGTTTCAGAACAAAATATTATTTTATTCATCAGATAAATGGTCACACTAAATCACTTAGAACATTATCAACATTATTTTTACCAATATTTTACAAGAAATTTCAAATGATATATTTCATTTGTTTTTATTCATATTTGAAATACTTCCCGTTCGTGTCTGAAATAATGAACACAACGACACCTAAAGGTCTTCCTCCACCAGTATAGCAGATACATCACCATATGACCTACTAGTATACTGTGGAGTGTCGGTGTAACGTAAAACCCAATCAAAACAGACAAAAAAATTGAAATACTTAATATGGAAAATTTGCCCAATGCAGACCTATCCACTTTAATTCATGAATTTTTAACAGCTGTGTATAGGCTAAATAATATAAACATGATGATTCTCTATAAGGACACGTGTAAATGTGCAGCATGTTAATAAGAGGTATTGTTAGCGGCAAGTCCCAAGAATTTTATATGTGATCATATATATGCGTACGACTCCACCATGTGAAAATCCGTTGATAAATATAATTCAAAAGAATTCAAAAGAAATAGAAAAGTGAGGCATGATTCTGGTGGTTCTAATTAAGAAAGCATCCTTTTTACAGTACACTTGAATCAGTTATTGTATATTTTTGTACCAGAACTGACTGATAAAGATGTAATGACCCCAAACAGCCTACTAATAATGGATAAACTGCTTGTCGATATCAGCTGTTTCGTAAGGAAATTGTATATTCGAGGATTTGTAAGATTTTAATAATAAATTCATATTCTAGGCTCATAAAATGCATGCTGCAAGTAAAAACGAGCTGCTGATCACAATATAGACGAAACAATTCGAGACACATTGCCGATTTACAAGGTCCAAGATTTAGCGATTTGCCGAGTAAATTCAGACAGGACTGGTACTAACTAACGCATGGGTAATGGAAAGTTTGAATACTATATTATAGTATTATTCATTTTAAATACTTTAATACTGAACGCTGTGAACGTGTATGTGTCTAATGCAATCGTGTTAAAGTGTTGACATTTCGCGTACATAAAACGTAGTATTTTACAATGTGTTATGTAAATTAGATACATGTATCTTAAAAAAACATTGATGATGCACGTTTACCTTTGAAACCGCCAAATATGGAATTTATTTTAAACATACGTTCAAATACTTTATTTAAGTATTTTGGTACAATAATTTAAATACTGTACATAATATCGAACTTTTAGTTATGTTAAAATGCAGATGGTCATAATGTTAATCGTTTACAACATATTACTGAATGATAATGCTAATAAACCGGGGATGGGGCTACATATCCTAAAGTGAACATCAATAAAAAAAAATGTAATTTTTACAAACCCATTTGTGAAGACAAAAGTGCGTCATTCATAAGGAAAGTTTAAGGCTTTTCCACATTTTTATGCAATTCAAAGATTTTTACTCTTAATGCAAAATACATAGAGGATATTTGTTTGTTTGAGTGTAAGATGAAATTTTATTTCATCGAGTGGGCTTTAAAAACAGTATTCTCACGAATGGCGTAGCCACGAGTGAGAATACTGTTTTTAAAGTTCACGAGATGAAATAAAATTACATCTTACACAACAAACAGACACTTTTTTTTTTATTTTATGCTTAAAAACAAGTTAAAACGAAATTTCCATAATTTTAACGTTAATTTGTTTCCCCCATTGAGAGCCCCATTTAGACGGAATTTCACATTAAAAACAAGAAGTCTTGAGCTGAAAAATAAGTCCGCCAATCAAGGTTAAATGACGGTGATATTTATTCATTTTATTAAAAAAAATATGAATGATCGCTTGTTTTAATAATAAAAACAAACAATTCTTGTAGGAGAAAAAGTCCAACCATCCATCCATATTTCTGTTACTTACTGCGAATTTTATATTAGACCTGGCTTTGTAAAATGTAAGCGGCAGCCATTTTTTAAAGTTGTGTATTTCATGGGATGAAAATAATTGTGTAAGATTCAGAGGGATATAATTTGGATTTGTTAGTCATACACCTTTTTAAAAGAAAGAAAACTTATTTGAGGATTGTAACAGACAAAAAATAAGAGTTGACAGAAGTGAAAACATTCAGAAAAGGAGCTAGGAAAATGGAAACTTGGAAGCTTAGCGGAACGCTGGGTTGTTTTACTTATTTTACGAGTGATGGCTGTCAATGCTTTTTCAATTTTTCATAAAGCATACGGCAGTTATTGCTCGTAGGATACTTTAATATGCCCAAATGTCATCAAGAGCAGTTTTGCATGGGGAAGGAATGTATTTTTCAGACTGTAAAAACGAAACAAAAAAAATTAGAGACGAAATTTGGTGATTGGAATTTGAATGAATAGAAGTAAGTTTTCTCTCTTTATTACTTTTGACATTTAAGTTATTTATCTATTTCAGCTTTGCTATTTCTTTTAACAGCCTGACATTGTCAGAATTGTCAGTAAAAATAAAATTGAGGTACCACATGGGGAAAATCTTAAAAAAGTAGTTTCGTCATTGAAAAAAGTGAAATTATATTTTATAATTTTCACTGTGAAATTATCAAATATAATTTTCACGGATAAATCAGTAATCCACTGAAAAGCATAAAATAAAAACATATCTCTTCCATTCGGGTAGTTAAGAAGAAATCCTTAATCAAAATATATCAAAAATGTGTAAACTACGGACAGCAGATATACATATAGCGTTATATGCACTTTGTATCTGGCTATTAAAAGAACAGACTTGTGACCTTTACACACCTTAAAGAAATAATATTTTTCAGTTGAGAAAAAACCATCCAGCTGACAACAAGATTACAGTTTGGTTTGAAAAAGGTTACATACATTCCTGTGAAAAATGTATTGATATTGATTTCTTAAATGTAGTGCAGTATGTGAAGACGCGCCGTGACCTTGACATTTAAACAGAATGAATTATCTTACACGCAACAAATCACGGATAATTATGTCCTGATAAAGTTGTTGTAGTTACTATCAGATATGGGATACTAAGTTTGTTGATTTTATTATCTCGCTTTCCCTTCGATAATAATGTCTATAGTAAATAGATTAGTATTTAACTAATAATTTACTACTTTCAACCATGTTGTAAACGACGGTCATGTTGAAGAAATAAGTAAACTAAAACCGGAAAGTATGGACAGTAAAATAAAATTGGGAATCTTGATTCAATTTGGATTCTTCTTATGCGGTAACTGATATATTCCAAACTTTTCACAAATGTTTTTTGGCTTTATTTGAAAACTCGTGAATAATGATCAGAGCTATTTGTAGATTTCAATGAACTGTAAATTTCAATATTCATATACATGGAATGCTTTTAATTATAAAACTAATGTTTTTTTCTTGACAGAAAATGTCTTATGTTTGTTTGTTTCTTTTTTGTTGTTTTTTTTTCTTGTTTTTTTTTTTGTACGTTTGTTGGCTTGTTTGTTTTGTTCTTTTTACCAAAACAACTGCGCCTAGATTTATTTGGTTAAAAATATATTTGGCGGGTTATTTTTGGTTTTCGTTTTTTTTTTTTTTTTTTTTTTTTTTGTTTTTTGTTGTTTTTTTTGTTATTGTTGTTGTTGTTGTCTGTCATCAAAAAACAAAGTTGTCTTCGCGGTTTAAATGCGTTGTAACCAAGGATTACTTTTCTCTCCGAAAGGGACACATTATTTACCCATAGGGATCTCTCACTCTCTTTTACATAATTATACCGGTATTTATTAAACGAACATTCACTAGCAATGTTTTCATGCTTCACTTCATGTACTCAATCTAATCTACAATTTTCAGTGAACAGTGAACATTTTGAGTTTGGCGACAAGGGCACAGCGTGTATATTACTAGATATTGACGCTTCCTTTAACCTAACATACAATGATGGAACAACTTTTGAGGTAATGGGTTTGTAAGGTGTCATATTATAAAATTCTGGATGAAGTGTAATCCCTCGGAAGCACTTATAACAACAAAATTGCCAGAAAATTACAGACTCGGTTTGATTGAGTCTGTAGATGAAGGTTAATGATAAAGTGAGCGGTACGCATTTTTCAACTCTAAAAACTGTACATTGATAATCTAATGAACGTAGTATCGTAATAAGCTAACACAACTCATTATTAAGACTATGACATAGACGCTTAATCCCGACTCATATAATTTATGCGTTTTTATTTTTAAAAAAAAAACTACATATATTTATAAAATTATTTATATATATATACATGTATAGGGAAATTTCAAGCAATGATGAAAACATTTGGAATATATTATCAAAATATCGTTTTAAGACTGTTACACAAATATATATCAAAGTTAACATGATTAAACTTAGATAAACAAATTCAGACTTTAAAAGAGAGTCCGGCCGAATTAAATCTGTTCTGACATAGGCGTGAATTCCACTTGTCACGTCTTACCTTTTTCAAAGTAGATTTGCTAATCAACTCTAACGGGTCGGTTTTTTCAACTTTTGACACATTGTGTCAAGTTTTAGTTTTTTGTACTGGAGCTCTACTATTCAATATTTAAATTTACTTCTGAAGACACAACCACACATAGTCATGTATGCTTATATTGCAATGAAACTATTGCATCTAATTAGGTATCTAATGTCACCTTGTGGCTGAGGGTTTGCCTTTAAGAGTTGAGGCATCAGAATTACAGGTAGCATTTATCCCTGTGTGATCTTAAGAGGCACTAAATGAGTTCCTAAGCATCTCTTAGCTCCAGCAGGTGAGATGATTTTGAAGTTTGTAACACCCGAAATTAGTCATATGATCTGAATTGTGTTGATTAGCCGTAAAACCAAATAAACCAATGTTTCTAATCTTATTTTCCAGTAAGAAGTACACGTATTTTCTTTTTTTTCAGGCGGCCGATATATTCGACTTAAATGGAGCTACTGTAGTTGATAGATCCAGTTTGTGCAGTGACTCACTCTTTAAAAACAACTCTCTTTTGATGGTTAGTCTTTTTCCGTCAGGAGAGCACGTGGAGTTTTCGTTCAGACGACAATTTGGCGACATACTTATGCACGTTGCTTTATTTCTAAACCCCGGCAAACATTTTATGAATATTAACAATACTTTACCGGTTGAAATGAAAGACTACATGGGTTTGAATGTTGGCAAAATGACGTCAAGTAACAACTCCTTTGAATGTCATACCGCGCAAGACCTTCATTTCCGGTTCAATGCTCCATTTGACATGACCATGACCATATCAAATATCACAGTTCAGGCATATTCCGTAACTAACAGTACGTTTGGACCAGGTACGTTTCTAATATAAAATAAGAAATATAAAAGCTTTGTCTATGCTATATGCACCAGAATGCATTATGGATGGCATACTGCCGCACCTTTAAAGGCTTACTGCTGCAGTATGGTATACTGCGTTGGAAGGGGATACGCAGTATGCCATATGCATTTTTAATGGCATACTGCAGTACTTCGTCGATGTTTTGAAAATATCATTTAAAGGGGTCTTTAAAAATTTAAGCATTTTTAGTATTTTGCATGATAGAAAACCTCAGAAAGTATCCTTTTTCAATATTTAGCGGAATTAAACGCCAAGCCAAACAAGCCGACCAAACATTTTTTATGCTCCCCGAGAGAATATATACGCCGCTTTGTCCGTCCTTGCTGGTTATATATGATCCCATGAGTATAGGTTCGGATCTCTGTTTAGTATAGGTTCAGATCACTGTTGAGTATAGGTTTGGATCACTGTTTAGTATAGATTTGGATCATTGTTGAGTATAAATCGGGATCACTGTTGAGCAATTGTTCAGATCACTTTTGAGTATAGGTTCAGATCACTGTTTAGTATAGGTTCGGATCACGGTTTGATATAGGTTCAGATCACTGTTGAGTGTAAGTTTGAATCAATGATTAGTATAGGTTCGGATCATTGTTGAGTATAGGTTTGGATCATTGTTGAGTATAATTCGGGATCACTGTTGAGTTATATGTTCAGATCACTGTTGAGTATAGGTTCAGATCACTGTTGGGTGAAGGTTCAGATCACTGTTGAGTATAGGTTCCGATCACTGTTTAGTATAGGTTCGGATCACTTTTGAGTCTAGGTTGGGGTCACTGTTAAGTATAAGTCCGGATCACTGTTGAGTATAGGTTCGGATCACTGTTGAGTAATAGGTTCAGATCACTGTTGAGTATAGGTCCAGATCACTCTTGAGTATAGGTTCGGATCATTTTTCAGTTCAGGTTCGGTTCAATGTTTGGTAACGATATTTGGAAACGGTTTGGCTATAGTTCACTAATGTGTCAGTGGGTAAAAGAGAGAATAACAAGAGCACCGCTAGGCGGAGCATTATATGCCTGAAAGTGGTTGTTTTTTAGTAAGTATGAAGCATTTGTAAGACATTACATAAATCAAATAAAGTATTAACTCCTTCAAATAGCAATCCCCCAATAAAGTTTGAATATTGTGGGCCAAATGAAACTTAAGTAATGCGCTGGAAACTGTTTTCAGTTTTAAAGTAATAGTGACCTTGACCTTTGACATTGTAACCCCAAAATCAATAGGGGTCTTCTACCTAATATGGACAATCATCCTATGAAGTTTGAATATTGTGAGCCACATGAAACGTAATTTATGCTCTGGAAACTGTTTTCAGTTTTAAAGTAATTATGAACTTGACCTTGTGGCCCCAAAATCAATAGGGGTCTTCTACCCAATATAGACAATCATCCTATGAAGTTTGAACACTGTGGGCTGAACGGAACTTAAGTTATGCTCTGGAAACTGTTTTCAGTTTTAAGGCGATAAAGATCTTGACCTTTGACCTTGTGACCCCAAAATCAATAGGGGTCTTTTACCCAATATGGACAATCATCCTATGAAGTTTGAATATTGTGGGCCACATGGAACTTAAGTTTTGCTCCGGAAACCAAATTGCTAACAGACGGACGGACGGACGGACAGATCTTCTAACGAGACAGTAATAAGGTGACTACTCTATTGTTCTCTCTATTGTTCTTTTTAGCCCCACAAAAGAAAATAGCCACATAAAAGCATTACGCAATGAATTACATCAAAGAGAAAGAACAGTTACCTTTTGTCCCTCTAGCCACATTACTACTGTCCCGTGAAAGCAGACGGAAGTTCTCACAGGACAGTATTTTTTTGTGGCTACTCTATTATTCTCTCTATTGTTCTTTTTAGCCACACAAAAGAAAAGCCACATAAAAGCATTACGGAATGAATGACATCAAAGAGAAAGAACAGTTACCTATTGTCCCTATAGCCACATAATTACTCTCCTGTGAGTGCGGACGGACAGACGGACGGACGGACGGGCGCCAGGGGGTATAACATAATATGCCCGAAATTTTTTCGGGCATATAAAAAAGAATAAGCAAAATTTGTAAAGTAACCAAAACCTTTACAGAAAACAAATCTTGTTTTTATGTCTTCAGCAAAAGAATGTAAACAGGATTTGATGACAACTACAGAGCCTTCCGATATAACCACAGTAACGGAGCCAAGACAAACCACATCCGAACCTTCTGAAATAACTACAGCAACGGAGCCAAGACAAACCACAACCGAACCTTCCGATATAACCACAGCAACGGAGCCAAGACAAACCACAACTTTTGAACCAGATTCAACCACATGGCATTCCCACACAACTGAACCGCCGATGAAAACAAGCACAGAACCCAATGTCGACACGACCGAGTCACATACTACGTCAAGTGCAACTACTGTACCAATAACAACAAAACCAAGGCCTACAACTCGTCCTAAATTCATTGTAAAAAACAATGGCACTGTCTGCATTGTTATTGAAGGATTTATAATGTTTGATATACCATATAAGAAGAAAGATAACACGAATGTACGTTGACGTATTTAACGGTATTTGCTGTCACGTTTAAGTAAATTCTACGTTTCTCATTTTAATTCAATGTTTATCATTTTAATGCAATGTTTATCATTTTAATTCAATGTTAACCATTTTAATTCAATGTTCATCATATTACATACTTATTGATTATAGTTTAATATTTGTAATGTTTTCACTGATTCATTTTACGTGCACTAGTTAGTACGTATCATTATTGAATGTTTTTCTTCAGATTCATTTCACGTAAAGGGTAACGTTAACCAATGGTTTTATATTTTCGAATTCGTTTTATGTACACATTGTTAAGTTTAGCTTATCGCTGAGCCGTGTTTAGAATATGATTTAATTTATATCCACGATGGTAAGATTTGGTTCAATTCACTTTCAATTTGTACTACATGTACTAAGTCTTTTATTTACAAACATGTTCTTTGTTAAGAGTGTACGTTGTTGTCTTGTTCTATCGTTGTTTTTTATACCAGGGTATCAGTTCAAACATAACGGTGCCAAATGATGCAGATATAAAGGGAAATTGTCACTTAAATACTTCAGCCCAGGAGATAACCATCACATTCTTCGACGCATCATGGGTTCTGGATATCATCATAATGAAAGGTGTGGGGCTAGAGGTAGGAGACCGACTCGAGGGAGATGGTAATACATACACCTGGAACAAACTGAACTTATCGTATACTGTTGACAGCCATTTCCCTGAAGCAGAAAACCCTGGTATATATTTTAATTCAGTTCCTTTTTGAGCCCATAGATTGTAATAAGTACAAGTAGTTCGATATATGTTTAATTTGTTAGTTGGAAAGACTAATCTTAGACATGACTTAAATATAAAGCAAAACAGAACGTAACCATTATCAATTTTTTGTAGAAAGAATAACACACAAATAGACAAGTACGTGCACACGTTTGCGACATAAATGCTTCTCTATGAAACATAGGACTTCATGGACGATTATATCTAAGTACAAACGCAACATTAATCAACAAATGCATAATAAATCAACAATTTTCAATGCGTATAATAAGTATTATAAGCATGAAAATAGCGACCACTTTTATACATTGTTCGGTTTATCAATTAGATGTTTTATGATAATTATGGCCTTTCGTGTTTTTTTACTGCAAATCGGAACTCTAACAATCTAAGTTTTACTGAGCGCATGATCTAGTTATTGCATTTTGAACTGTGCATCTGATATCGAACATGGAAATACTGCGCCTATGCATTGACCCGGACATCACAATTTGTACTTCGCAAATGAACTTGAACATTTCAATTTAACTGCGCATCTGAACTCGAACATTGCAAATTTTACAGGGCATCTGAACTCTAACATTTAATTCTTACTGCGCATCTAAACTAGAATATATCAATTCTTCCCGCGCATCTTAACTCAAAAATCGCAAGTTTTATCGTGCATATGAACATTTGTTATATCAATGCACTTAAACTTATAAAACCAATTACTAAAAAAACTATATTCCAAATAATTCACTAAAATTTGCAAATTTCACTGGATGAGTTAACGTTTATTTTCTATCAAAGAAAGTAAAGAGAGTGTTACAACCTCTGGAGCTATTGCCAATTTAAAAGTAAATACAGATGGTTCGTTTAAATGCAATGCCGAAGAAGACATCAATGTAGACAAAGATACACGTATGAAACTCAGTGATCTACAGTACAGGGCTTTTGGTAAAACGGGCACATCGGATTTTACAAACAATGGTCAGTAGTGTTTCATTTCTTAAATACTAGTACGTATTACTTCAATTTAATACTTTGTTTTTATTTTGTCATTTTCGGGAAATACATAAATGTGTATTAATTATGCATGTCGTTTAATGTAGAAACATTATTTTAATAATGCTTTCTGTTCAGTAATGCGATAGGATATCTATATCTTTTACTTTAATTACTTTCATATGTCTAAGAGGACTGATATTCTTGAAAAGATGGCCTGTCAAATTTAAGGTCGTCAACTCTTACACTGCCCTTACGCTGTTGCAACCATTATAGAGCGAGGCCGGTCTGCACTATCTTTCATGCAGTCTGACCAAACTTTATACAGTTGACTGAATAACTCAACAAATTTATACAGATATACCCAAAAAATGATGAAATAAAATTGAAGCTGAATAGGTCATGTACAACTTTTAAGAGCTTAAGGGTAAAACTGGCATTATAAAATTATAAAGATATACCTTTAAAACGATTTTGAAAACAGAATGGTCCTTGAAGGTTCTCGCACGAGCAAAAGGTCTAATCAAAGATATTGTTGTTTTTTGTTTGTAACAGATGTGACTGAGTGTGCCGCAGATCATCATCCTAGCGGCGGAGGCGGTGGCGGCGATGGTAATGGCAAGTTGGGTATCATCCTCGGCTGTGTGTTTGGTGGTTTAGCTGTTATCATACTTGTTGTTGGCGCTGTTCGCTATCGCAGAAAGACTGGAAATGTCAGTACAGGAGCCAATTATGACCCTATAACCTAAAATTATGCTTATTATTTAAATTTATACATGTACGTAGTTAGTTCGAGTCTTTGAACAAAAACAAAACTATACAACACCACACAAATTTGATATCTTATTGTATACAAATCATGACGTTTTAATGAAATCAGTAAAAAAATCGTTTCTCTATCATGCTTTTGAAAAAAGAAAAACACAAAAAAGTAACAGGACGTTACGTGTAGATGTTTAACAGAACTATTGAGAGACTACTAGATAGCGTTATATTTTACATATCTCTTTCACTTTCGTTTGTAAAATTATACATATGTAGTAAAATCTGAAAAGTGTTACTTCATTTGGCACGTTTCCATCATGGACCAGAGTCGCAATACTAATATATTCCGTTCTGTCCAGCTCTTTGTTTAAAATTTATAGCTTTTTGTGTTGAGCTTATTGTCGTATTTCTGCTTCTTTATGCCTTTTTCTTAAGAAAGAACGACATAAAAGGGTGACAATACAGCGCATAAAATATGTCGTGTTGTTTTCGTATTTCACATTTGTGATTCCTTTTTCGGAATTTTGCAGGTGCGCCTCAGTCACACATAATTATGCTTGAACAATAATATCAGTATGAAATTTACTCGCTTTAATTTTGGCAAGATATTTCTAGATAGGGTCGATTTGCTCAAATGATATGATAACTTTACATTGACATTATTTACGTTGTTCGATTCTATATTAGATCCAGTATATTGTAATTAAAGATGTAACATAGAGTTAAGTGAAGTTTTATATACGTATATAATTATTCCTCTAAAACAATATCCAAACATCCAAGAATAGGTTACATATGTACAGCAAATGTTTATGTACATTATAATTAAACGTTAAAATCAACGCATTCTTTTTTATTTGGAAAAAACTGGCCAATACTTTATCGTGGGAAACTGATTTCTAATTACCACGCCCCCCCCCCCCCTCCCCCATGTTTACATAAAATGTTAAATTCGGTAATACCTTTACAAGTAATGCTTTTTGAAACTGAGAATTCAATTTGATGAATCTTCATTTGAGCATCAGATTTATAGTATAAATCGACAAAAGATTTCGTTGTAGGGTCTTTAATTGTCCTGAAAAATGTCCCCATCGTGTTACCATAAGAATTAATATGTTTCATGGCTTCAAAATGTTTTTATAATTATTGTAATCATTCTACGTTCCAAAATGGAGTCTGTGTGACATATATGTAAACGGAAACGGTATATTAATTTGTGCCACGCAGGTTTTGTTTTCAGTGACTGTTAGTTGTCACACGCTTGTTTGACAATGTGTTAAGACTTTAGGGAAATGTCAACGCTATTCAATATTCTGGGATTCATATAATGTATTTTCAGTGAAATAAATCATGCAAACCCCAATATAAATTACAAAAATAGATTGCCTATAGTTAATTTAGTTTTGTGATAATTAGAATAAACAACATGAAAACAATCGGAAAATACCGTGCAAGTGATTAAATCAAATTTAATTTTATTTTCGATATTTGTAATTTACCCTTTAAATAGAGATTATTAAAATGTAAAACAATAATCTAATAAATACGTATAAAATAGTAAATTAATAAAACTAACACAAACTAAAAATTCAAGCATATAAAACCATCTGCATCAAGTGGCTCGTCACCTCCTGTAAACTTCAACCAAAGGTAAACATAATACACAATGGTCATTTTCAGGAACGTAATTTTAAGCTGCGGTCTCACTTACTCCCGGCAGAGCCCAGGACCATCCCAGTAAGTTACCGGGATGATCCGGGACGATCCGGGATGAAATTATTGTTGCGGTCACACTTACCCCGGCAGCACTACGGTAGTTCCCTACTAACCACCCAGGATGCGCTCCGGATCATCTAGGCAGAGCCCAGGTGAAGCTACGGTTCATGCCAGTGCTTCCCCGGTCGTTCCCGGATGACGCCGGAAGTCCCCGGTTGACCCAGGCAGAGCCCCGGTCGATCCAGGCAGATCCCGGCAGAGCCCAGGACGATCCAGGCAGAGCCCCGGTATAACCCCTGTGGATTGAAAACGCCCGAAAATGATAACATTGATACATACTTTTCATTTAATATAATATCTATTGTTCTAGAATAGTAATTCATGATGATTTTCTGAAAAATCCTTATGCCATACTGGGTAGAATGGAAATGGGAACTTCAAGGCTTTTAATACAAACAAGTGCAATCATCGCAAAGTGTCGTTATTCTTTTGAAATGATCCGGGCTTTGCCGGGACTCTACCGGGATCAACCGTAGCTCTACCTTTATCCTCCGGGGCTCTGCCTGTAGTTACCGGGGCTCTGCCGGCATATACCGGGGCTCTACCGTAGCTCTACCGGCTATATCATACTCCGGATCATCGCCGGATGTTCCCGGATCATCCAGGACGTTGCCGACAGAGTTACGGATGTACCCCAGTTGTTCCCGGTCGTTCCCGGATCACCCCGGACATCTACCGGGGCTCTGCCGGGATGTAAGTGAGACTGTGGCTTTATCATACGTGTTATAGTTTTAAATCAAATTAGTAAAGATATATGATAATTACCTTCACATCACGTATCAATATTTATTCTCATTCACTTTCCTTTACTAATGACATGAAAATGCTCGTTAAGTACAAGTGCCTCCTTAAGAAAAGATTAATATCCGACTGTACTTGTCAGTCCGTCTAGTTGTTTAACTAAAGATAGAAGTACATCTTGTATTGGCAATCATGTTGAAACAAAGAAACGCCGCTCTTTTCTCTATCTATTTAATTTTACACACAGTTTTCGGATTAAATGATGAGGAACCGAGTTGTATGCCTTCGTGTAACTATGATATGCTAAATAGATTAATAATGCTCGAACAAGAGGTAAAATATTTGAGACAAACTGTTGAGAGTCAGAAAGGAGTGATAGGTAACTTGGAAGGTCAAGTAAAAGGTATGATTTATTTTTTATTTGATTGATTGATTGATCGATTAATGGATGGATGGATGGATATGGTAAGGCGGGTGAATGGATGGATTCTATTTGTGATTTAATTTCTTTTGTAATTTAATTTGATTTCAATTAATTTAAGTTTTTTCATTTTATTTGACTTGATATGGTTTTATTTCGTTGATTGATTCTGTAGTGCCGATTCCATGAATTTTTAATATTTTATAATTATGTTTAAATGTGTTTGTCTCACACTTGGCTTGTTTGTTCACACTTGAACGCCGCCTGTCCTTGTTGATCTTGTTTATCATATTTTTTTGCTAAATAAACCAGTTATTATTCCAATTATACTTCATTTCTTTTCTAATATAATTCTATGAGAGTTTGTTGATTTGAGCATAAAATTAAATGTCTCCCTACTGTACACCTGAATCCTAATATTTCAACGTATTAATATAGTTAATATACTATAAATGATCAAATGACATCTCATAATCAGGGCAATAATGTTATCAATGTCATTTTAATTAGCTCGTCTAAAACATGATAAACATAATGCATATGCCAAATACTAGTAAGTGAATTATCTGATATGTAATTAAAGAAGTAAGTCATTTGACAGTTGAAGGGTAAAAATTGAATATACTCTTCAAATGTAATCGTAATTTTGCTTATGTTAGCTGTCAATTATTCAATGGACGAATCAGTGTCATATGGACCCCAGTAATAGATCTTGCCGGTGTTGTTATTACAGCTTCATGTATTACTGTTAATGTAAATATTTATATAATTATTGATAATCATTGTTATTTCCGTCTTTTTGAATGTTTTGTTTCAAGACTTTGATCGATGGCTGTTGGTTTGTAAAATCATTTATCTTTTTACTATTTTCTACTTTGTTTACTCCACATGGCGTCCATTCTCGTTCTTTATTGGCGACTCATGGCTATTTTGGACCTTTTTGATAAATAGAGAATACTTCTTATCAATTTCGCCATTTTAGAATAAAACACATTTTACTACATAGGATAAGATGAGCAATACTTTTACCATCTTCAAAACGAAACCAAAATATTATTTTTCGACTAAATCTACGTGATTTGACGTGCAGTAAGTGTTATTACTTTAAGGAACAATCAGTTTTTTCACAATCTCTCTGTGAAAGATCAACAATGAAAAATTAAATTGTAGAAAGGGAACGGCAGGCATGTTGCTTTGCATTTGCAACGGATTCTAAAATCTGCTTTAAACTGTAGTCCTTTTTTTTCGACTTGGAACTGGTGCCAGAATTGACAATTGAAGAAAAATGTAAGAGTTATGTCATTCATGATAAAAATATGAACATATTTAGGTAGAGTTTTGCCTTCCGTACTCCCGGTTGATGTAAACCTGACTTTTTAATCATGGCGTAGACCAGGTAATGCCAGAAAACGAAATAGCTTGCAACTGAAGCCCGCTCTAATACAAGCAACTTCCAAGGTTATGCAGTGTTTGATAAAACGGCTTATAAACTGATGAAGATCCATTATTCTGTGGAAAGCTTATATTTTTCCCCGTAGACTGGTGCATATCCCAAAGAAATTGGTACAGAAATGAAATATTTACGGCTATTTTCTTTTCCGAATCGAGCAACATTTGTCTTGGAAATGATGCCGAAAAATGACGTCAATGTCACGTGGTATGGCTACACTGTATGACAAGGCGCCGTGGGCATAATTCTGAAAGCAATATTGGAGTTATGTCCCTTATCAACTAAGAAATTATAAAAGACGAGCATTAACACCGCATGCGGTGCTCTTATCTTAAAATGATATGCATTTAAGTTCGTCGGGATTTATAACCCTAATTAGTAGATGCTAATCTATTAAACAAACAACTTTTTTTTAAATTTCAGACCTAGAGCCCGATCCGGTCATCGCTTTTATGGCGGATCTAACCAGTTCTTTAACCGGAAGTAACTACCGCATCTACTTTAACGACGTGAAGCTTAACATCGGCAGTGCATATAGGTCAAAACATGGTCTATTTATAGCACCTGTTTCAGGAATGTATCAGTTTTCAGTTTCGGCATGTTCAAGTTCAGGACAATATATTGTGCTCGACTTGATGCAAAGTGACACACTCCTAGGACGAATGTTGGCCGGAGGTACGACTTATGATTCGTGCAACTCTAAAGTGTTCCTAGCTAGCCTTCTGGCCGGTGACGATGTTTACGTACAACATGTTGAAACTGGAGATTATCTACTTGCTAGTAATGGATACGGGTATCCAAGTTTTACTGGAGTTCTTTTACATACAACTTAATAAATGACAACTTTTATAATTCTGTGACACTCACAATGCTTTGTTCAGAAAAATGACATTGTTCAAAACAACATAAAGCCGAGCTTTGTGTACAAAGATTTGTTTTTGGCTATATATTACAAGTATGTTTATGTTTGGTTGTTTGGTCTCATTTTAAAATTAACTCAAATAAGGTTCAAAAGCAAATATAAATATAAAATACGAATTATATAGATCAACTGGGACACTTAAAACAGAAAAATATTCAAATTAGTTTTAGGAAATATACTCAATAATAATTTGAAAATCTTATTTTGTGCTATTCTTAGCCTGATTTAAATGAACAACGTTGCACAACGCTTTTAAATTTGGATCATGTTTTCGCAATTAGTGTAACTCTTACTGAATATACATATGTATCTAATTTGGATGAAAAAATGAATAAACTATGAATGGAAATCTACGTTCTCTATTATAGGTCAAGTAAAGTTAGTTTTTTCTTTAAATAAAAAACAACAACAACAGCAACTGCCAGTTTTTTTAACGAACCTATATATTCGTATTGTGACCACATATTGTGACTACAGTTTAACCATAAAACATCTACTTTGTGCGAAGTCAAGGGGCATATTTATTTGACATTTACAAACATAATACATCTTTGCTTCCGCTTTTGGTTTATTTTTATTTTTTGTAAGGTATATACATAATTGAACGCTCATGTCTTGTTTGCTGTTGTTTACAATGTATCAGTAACTCTTAACAAAATCGTCATTCCAGAAAAGAACGCCAGTCGCTCGAAACATGGAGTTTGATTTCGTGTTACAATTATTTTTTTTTTATGATGCACCAAGTAGCCTTAATGTTTAACTTCAACGCAAAGAGCGAATATTTCCGCGTATCGAACAAACGTCGGGGTTTATAGGAATGTGCTAACCAAGTCTTAGGCACGGTAAGAAAGATTTTTTTTAAAGGGACTCCACTGAAGTTTTTTGACATGATGGGACTGAAAATATTTTTCCAGATAAATGTACCATTTGATGTAGGTTTAGACCACTAATCTTTGTGCAAAATTTCAGACATTTCTCGCACTTCATTTTCTTCAGAATAAAAATAACGCAAAATGAAAAGCGTATAAACGCTTTTCACTGAAATCGGGTTAAGAAAAGCATAAAATTGCGACATTTTCAATTTAACCTCAGTGGAGTCACTTTAAAGTTAAACTTTGTTTTATAACAGGGCTGCAGCCAGACATATAAATTTCCATTTTCTGTAAGGGGTTCGGAGGCACATACCCCCCAAAAAACTTTTATTTCCGCGCGCTATAAATCAATTTTGTTAGCATTTTATTGTTAAAAAGATTTTTTTCATTTTATTTTTTTTTATTTATTTATTTATTTATTTTTTTTTTTTTTTGAAAAATTTGAACATGCGATATTCAGACGCTTTTCATTTTTAGGGCAAGATTTATTGCCATATCCTACTTACAAAAGTAAGAAGACAATTCAAAGTGCCTTAAAATATGTTTATTGTATAATATGAAAGATGGCCGATATAATAAGTTTATTTTAAAAAAA